TAATGCCTGGCGAGCTGGTAGAGGTTAGAAACCAGGCTTAGAAAGTGCAGGAGGAAGAAGGAACCAGGAGGAGACAGAGACTGGGTCCAGGCCTGTGTCTGACTGCCTGGTGTCTCTCAGGCACTAGCCATAGATTGCAGACTGGTCAGCCAGGGGTAGCAGAGGCCCAGATGCGGAGGTCCATAACTGCTTGTAGTCCACGCGTGTAATGGGTGTGATGTAGGTGTTGGGTGTGTGTGCTCTCAGGGCCCCCAGACCTCGCCTTTACTCTAAGGCTAGTGGTAAGGGCCCCAAAATTCTTTCCAAGAGGCCAAGAACTCACCCCTAGCTTGGGTCCTCTCCAGCTCCCCTGGCTGCCACTAGAGGGCAGCAGCCAACACCATCAGGCCAGGGAACTGTGGTAGCTTTCTCTGCTCTCCCCTAGTCTTTTTTTTTCTTTTTAAAATTTTATTTTGAAGGTAGTAAAAATACAACAGAACAAGGCAGAACAAAGCCAATCGAGACAATGTGATGAAATTGGAACAGGACTTCACAGCAGAATACTGGGATAGTATAATAGGTACTGTATCTCATTATCTTCATGATAGTTGTCTAGTCAATTAGGTATAGCAAAATCAAACCAAAAACAGAATATAAAACAAATTGAGAGTATTGAATAGAGCAAGACAAACATAACAAAACAGTGAAAACAACCTTTGCCTTCAAACAGCACATAGAAGGAAATCCCCCATATTTGCTACATTGCATCTGGTCATCCTCCCAAGAGATGCTGAGACATCTATCCCCAGTTGTTAAGGGGGTTTTCAGCCCCCTCACGTGGGTGGGCTCATGGGAGCCTCTGGTTCTCCTACTGTCCTGTGCCAGGAGCACTTACCAAGAGCGTGTCTCCCCTAGTCTTAAAGGACATAACCTACCTGGGCTTCTTAGTGCCCAGGGATGGACAAGGAGGGAGGCCAGGGAGACCATAGATTCAATTAAATGCTCATTACATCCGTGAGCATGGTGAAGTCTGTTTGAGTGAGATGTGTTAGAGAAGCTGCTGGAGAGGACCAGAGATAATGAAAGCTAGGACCCTGAGGTGTACTTCTTATTCCCTACTAGGAGGAAGGCAGCGGAGACAAGGAAAAGCCCAGGGGACCAGATGGCTGCATGGAAATAAGGCAGGCTCAGCCCGACTGCCAAAGGGCATGTGCTGAGCAGACTGACAGAAACACCGATTGCACAGGCAAATGACCTGAAGGGAAAATCCCATAGTTTGGGGTGCCAGGTTGACCAAGATTAGCAGTGTGATTTTAGACAAGGTGTTGAGCCTCTCTGTACTTTGGCTTTTATCTATGAGGTGGAGAAAATAATAATTCTTATCTCCTACACTAGATGTAAGTGTTGAGTACTTAATTAACCCAAATCACTTAGAACAGTGGCTGTCACAAGTAAGAACACTGTAATCACTAGAACTTACTATCTTCTGCCCAAAAGACCAACAAGCAATTTGGTTGCCTATTCCCAAGGAAAAGATCCAAATGTCTAGCTTATCCCAAATTCCCCTTATAAGCTATACAGCATAGGAATTGTTCTGCACACACATGGGCATTGAATGGTCACAGATGAGCCCAGTATGGTGACACATACCTGTAATCCCAGCTACTTGGGAAGCATGAGGGAGAAGGATCACAATTTCAAGCTCAGCCTGGACAGTTTAGTGAGACTCTCTCTCAAAATTAAAAAGAAAAAAATATATAGAGAGATAGAGCATTCTGGGTTAGATACCCAGTATCTACCCATAAAACAACATATGAATGTCTATATTAGTATAACGTAAGGGAGTTGAGTAACATTGTAATAAATACATATACATATAGGTATGAGGGTCTATCAATATCCCAATATACAATCTAGCCAGTCACCTTTGAATCCACAAACCTATTCACTCTTGAAATGAGTTCCTAAAATTAAATGTAGGTACCCCCTGCTCCCTACCTACCATCCCTCCTCCAACTGAGGCCTGGGCTTGCCCTCTGCACCAGACCCCCTGCTCCCACGAGTGTCCCGAGTCCTGTCTTATCCTACTGAGCTGTGTCAATCAGATAGGGTAGTAGTTTTCCCTTCTCATTGCCTGATTCTCCTGGCTCTCAGGAAATAGCAGCTTCTCTCTTCTTGTTCTTGGCAGAAATTCCAATCCTCAGCTTGCCTTCTCAAGGCCAGTTTTGGCTCTAAAGCTGTGAGGAAGTGAAAATGTCCAGCCTTGGAATAACAGTCCTGACTGGCTTGGTCTATGGTGAATATACCTAGCCTTCTGGAACCTCAAGTTTTCCTTACGCGTAGGTCTGTTGGTGGGGGGACTTTTATGTTTTCTCCCTCCTTGGAAACATTTAAATAAAAAACTAATAGTTTACTGAACCAGGTGTGGTGCCACCTGTCTGTGATCCCAGCACTCAGCAAACTGAGGCAGGAGACTTGCCATGAATTTGAGCTATATAAGTGAGTTTAAAGCCAGCCTGTACTATATAGATCGTGTCAAAATAAATAAATAAATAAAGCTCAGTGGCAAAAGTGCCTGCTTAGTAAGTGCAAGGTCATGAGTTTGATTCTTGGTACAAAAAGACAAAAAGCTGAGGACTGAAACCAAAGGCCCTGGGTTGAATCCTGGGTTGAAGGGGAAAAAAAGGCTTTACTGTTTGTTTACTCACCAGTGCTTCTGTGCCTCAAATGCAAACCAACCAATAGTTCTGAGCATGGAGTTCCCCAGTTGTCCAGTCAGAGAACCAGGTCACATGATCCAAGCTTAGCTCTCTTATCTTTGAGACATCATACAGTGGTTTTTCTTACAATGTGACTGTATAGTGACATTTGCAGCATCTCAGCAAGTCCTACATACTATGAACATTTTAGTTTTAAACTTTATATTTTCATAGTTCAGGGATTTAAGAATATAAGAATGCATAATGAGAATGCACTGTCCTGGCTCTTCTCTTCCAAGGAAGCAAATTATGTTACCATGTCTGTGTTTCAGATGTTGGGGATCAAACCCAGGGCCTCATGTGTGCTAGGCAAATGCTCTATCAGCCTTAGAACCCCAGCCCTACTATTTTCCAATGTATCCTTCCAGAGATGTCTTATATAAAGAAATATATATGGATTCTTTCCTCTAAGTCTTTTGCTATCAAAAGGAGTCATATATGTACATATACAGATTATCCTCAAGTGTTTTTGTGACTGCTTTGTCATATACCAAAATATACTTAACCACTTTCCTATTAACATTTAGGCTGCATTCAGTCTCTCACAGAGCTGCAATGAAGAACTTTGTAAATAAATAAAATATCTTTTAAGGGTATGCTGTGCTTATTCCTGTCCCTCAGGAATTACTACCTTGGGATCTAGAGATATCTTAGAAGTCAGCAGATATAGAATTCAGGGGACAGATTCAGGTAACCTGGAAACTTGGAAGGGAAAAATTTTCTGTCTTTATATGCACTAACCTCTAACTGGAATTTAACATTTCCTTGTATTATAAATGGAGGCAGGAAATTCACAGTAGTTAGCAACTCTCTTAATCATATGCCTGAAGATACCTTGAAATATTGTTTATATTCATCTCTACCTTGTCACTGTGGAAATTATTAATTTTGATTAGGTTATGTATATAAATTTGATTAGGTTATGTATTAATAAAGAAGCATATGTATTGTGGTAGCATACAGTTGTTTTCCAAAAACTTTTATACTTGTATTTTGATGTGAATGCTTTGCTTTGTAATTATATGCATTTTATTGTGGTAAATGATACATAATACAAAACCTACCATTCTAACTATTTTCAAGTGTACAGTTCAGTAGTATTAAGTGCATTCACAGTATTCTTCACCATCATCCCCACTCATCTCCAGAACTTTATCTTATCAAATCAAAATTATGTGCCCACTAAGTGATAATGTCTCACTAGTCACTGTATCCAACCCTGGGCAACCAGCATTCTACTTTTTGCCTTTATAATTTTAATGACTTCAGATGCCTCATATGAATGGATCCATATAGAATTTGGCATTACTTCTTCAAGTTTCATCCTTCAAGTAATTGGCTTTTTCATTTAATATAATAACTTCAAGGTTCATCCATGCTATAGCATGTGTCAGAATTTAATTTATTCTTAAGGCTAAATAATATTTTGATGTATGTATATGCTATGTTGTTCCTCCTCAACATTTGTGTTGTTTCATTTTTTGTCTATTCTGAATAAAGCTGATATGAACATTATTGCTCAAATGCTGTTGCTTACAGGTGTACACCCAGAGTGGAACTGCTGAATCATATGGTAATCCTATGATTTTTTTAAGGGTAATAGGTATTTGTTTTTATACACCAAAATATGATTCTAAATACTACTACACACCCCTTTTTAAAAAATGCTTGTCTAGGCCACTAGATGGGGGACTTCTAAACAAGGGCTGCAACTTTCCATGCGCGCCTAACTCTACTAGAAGAGGAGTTCGTGCAATCACCGCCTAGTGGGCGCCCTGCGAACCCAGCACTGAGCAGGGTGCAGGCGTTGTAAAGGTGTAGAAGGTACTTTAAGAACTCAAGTGTAGGCTTGAAGGTGACCAATTAAAGGCATCTCAACTCCTGAATGCTTGGCTTTTTAGATGTGTGACATGCCTTGGCCCCAGCTTCCGATTCAGAAAACGATCATCATCAGATCGATTTCCGCTGTAAACAGAAGCCTGACCGTTAGCACAGCTCATGACACATGATAGGCATTCAATAATTCTGTCCCTGTTACCTGGGACAGCAAGAGAAAGCCCAATGTAAACCTATGCTCTGAGCCACTGTAGGGATGCTTGGTTTTTCATCCGCTTGCCTTACTTAGTCCTTGTCCCGCGGGCTGCAGCAGCCCGCCGTCCCCTTGGTGGAACCAGGAATAGGGACCTCCGCGCCGGCAGGTGGCACCCGTGCGCACGGGGCACGGAGCGGCGCTCGGGCTGGGCTCCTCTCGGCGGCGCCGCGCATTCGTCCGTCCGCGGGGCGGGTACGCGGCGACGGCTGTGGCGGTGGCGACTCCGTGTCCCCGGAGCCAAAGAGCGCAGGCCCGTCCCTGCGGCCGGGGGCGGGCGGCGTGGGGGCGCCATGTGGTTCATGTACGTGCTGAGCTGGCTGTCGCTCTTCATCCAAGTGGGCTTCATCACGCTGGCCGTCGGTGAGAGTGCGCGACCCTCGTCCGCGCGGGCTGCAGCCCCGGCATCTGTGCTTGCTCGGGGTCGCATCGCGGGGTGTCCAGAGAGAGTCGGGGTGGGGTGTCTCTGCGCCTCTGGCTTCATCTCCCGGCCTGCCGCGTCCTGCCCTAGCCGTTGATCCCAGCACCCTAGCCTGTCCGCGGGTTCTGCCAGATGTTACAGAGTCCGCCGAGCTGTGCCCCGGAAAGGGTGACTTAAGTGCCCCTCCAACTGCCAACCGTTCCCTCGCACGCGGGCCCACCGCGCCGAACTTCCCCTCACCGACTGCCATCCTCCTCTAGTCCTTTATACTTGCTGCTTTCCGCCCTTGACACTTCCCCCACTTTAGACTGGCTCCTGCTCGATATTAATTGAGGTCTCACCTCCTCCGGGAAGTCCTCCGTAGAGGTTTGATGTTCTTAAGTAGCGTTCTCCTACGGGGATTGCCTGGCTTCAAGCTTCCCATCCTCTTCGCAAGCTGGGTTAGGGGGAAGGACCTTGTCTGTCTTGTTCGGCTGTATTCCCACCACTCAGCCCAACATCTGGCCCGTACTAAGTGCCCCATAGGTATTTATTGAATAAGTGAGTAAAGTATGCTTTCTGACCCAGAAGTGAGCATTATGCTACTTCCATTCATTTTGTCCCGATAAAGTTCCTCTTCTCTAGACATGTTAAGGGCAACACTTGGGTTGTTGGGAGGTACCAGGGTGGTGGGAGTGACCTCATCTGATAATTCCCCCTTCTTGCTTTTTGACATCACCCAGCTGCTGGACTCTACTACCTGGCAGAACTGATAGAGGAATACACAATGGCCACCAGCAGAATCATAAAATACATGATCTGGGTAAGTGGCGCTTTTCCCCAGGATTCCCCTCTTGCTGTGCCTCAAAACAGAAGGTGGGGAGAGTTTGGCCTGCATGGTGAGAGCCCTGACCCTGCCGTTGCCTGAGGGTATCACGCCTGCCTCTGTATCCTATGCTCAGCCTTTTGGGTCTGCATTTCTGGGCCCCAGATCTTTCCAGGCCTCCTTTCCTAAGTGGCACTGCTTCCCTGCAAACCTTGTTCTCAGCTACTTAAGGTAACAGCCTAGTGTACATTCTTGTTGACAGGCCCGATCTTGCCTTTGCTTGGTGGTTTCCCACTGGCTTTGGCCCCTTGGCCTGCTCCTAGCATTTAGAATTTAGTGGAACCTAAGGACAGCTTTGAATGCTTCTTGATTGCCTTCTTTCTAATTCAGTTTAGTGAATTTTCCCTAAGGGGAGCACCACCCGTGGCCGTGGCCCTGGCCCTGCCCTCCGCTGACCTCAGGGGAGGCTTCTATTCCTAAACATTTGTGGTTGCCATTGAAGTCAAAGGCCCAAGACTAGTCAAAGAGTGACTGCTGGTAGACCGATTTCTGCCAGTGCATGTGTCTCTTGGGTTGGCTGTGTAAAATATTTTTCTTACTGTGGGCTGCTGTTAAAATCTTTGGAGAAATGGCATTTTCAAATGCTGTCCTTCAGGAGCTGAGAATGTGGCTGGGAGACCCAGGCCTGGCACTATGAAACGAGAAGACTGAAGCATGGACCTGGTGCTGCCCGGGGCAGGGTGGGCTTAGGGAGTCTGGGCATGGCCTGGAGGGCTCTCTGCAGCATGTTGGTTGTTTCAGTTCTCCACAGCTGTGCTGATTGGCCTCTACGTCTTTGAGCACTTTCCCACCAGCATGATTGGTGTGGGCCTCTTCACCAACCTCGTCTACTTTGGCCTCCTCCAGACCTTCCCCTTCATCATGCTGACCTCGCCTAACTTCATCCTGTCGTGTGGTGAGAGGGGACAGAGTGGGGAGGGGGCAGCTCCTGTGGTTGGATGTGTTGGCTCAGTCCTGGGCACCAAAGGGAATAGAGAGGAGGAGACAGGCCACTGAAGTGCTCCCGGAGGTTTGCAATACAGACTTCTCACTTGTGAGGACCTTACAGCCTGCCTTGGCCACAGTGCCTAGAATTTTTGAGGGGTGGGAGGCTCAGATTGGGTGGGTTTTCTCAAACAGGGAAGTTTGAAGAATTGGAAAGAGAAAATAGGTTATGGGTTGGTGCAGGCAGAGGCCTGAGTAATGCCAACCTGAAAAACCACTTGGCCCAAAAAGCCCGAAGCTTTTCCTTGGCAGGTGGACAAGTTCCATCCAGCTCTTGGGCCTACAGTCAGTCAGATCAAGATTGAAGCCTTGGCACTTTGAGGCTGCTGCAGACACTGGCCTGGTACAGATGCTTCATGGGGCTCCTCTTCTGGTTCCATTGTCAGTGGTTGCAGCTGCCTCAGGCTTTAGGACCCCAGCCTTCTGGCCTTTGCCCTGGCACCACTCCCTGACAGTGGGAGTTCAGGCTGTTCCAAGGTGATGTTTCTGACAGGACCATTGGGAGACTCAGTTCAGAGCAGGCGATTATAAATGTTTGCATATGTTCATAGAGAAGCTTTCTGCAAGTGTTTGGTTACAAGATTTTCTGTTTTGCTTGCTAATCATGACTGGGTATGCTAGCCTTGGGTCAGGATATCAAGTAGAATTAGGAGTGTTTTGGAACTACTTTTCTATTTTTGTAAGAGAACCTAGAAAGAGAATATGCACAAGGAAGGCATAATGTTAAAACTAGGATCAGATCCCTTCTCTGAATGCCTTGTTGTGATTTCACTGTAGCATTTTTTCAGCAGGGCTGGGCACGGTGGTGCAGGCCTGTTATCCTACCTCTTTGGAAGGCTAAGATGGAAGGATCACAAGTGTGGGACCAGCATAGGCAACTCAGCAAGATCCTGTTTCAAGGGCTGAGGATTTACCTCAGTGGCATAAGCACCTGCCTGGCAAGTGCAAGGTCATGAGTTCCATCCCGGTACCACCAAAAAAAAAAAATTCCTGTTTCAAAATAAAACAAGCTGGAGACATAGCATAGTGGTAGTGCACTTCCTTAACAGGCACAAAGCCTTGGTGTGCAATCCCTAGTACTACAGAAAAGGAGGATTTTGTAGGAACCTTCCCTAGAGACCAGGGCCCTTCTACATTATCCCAGGGAGAACCTTCCCACTTGCTGGTGGCAAGCTCCCTGGCTTCCTTTTGTCATTCACTCAGCCTGCTGTTTAGATACCTGAGAGAGCTTTTTTTGAAAAATCTAGTGGCCCCTACCTCTTGGTGTCCCTTAGCCTTAGTATGTGACTAGACCTAACAGAGGTCTTGTCTTTATCTTAGAAGGAAAGAGGCAAGGGCGGAGAAAAGAGGTGTATGTGTAAGGGGTTCAGTTTTAGGGGACACATTGTCTGGTGCCTGCTCTTTACCCCATCATGAAGCAGGCAGAGATGCCTGCCCTGAGCAGTCTGTCGCTCAGATTTGCTTGCTTGGCTTTTCATAAACGGGGCTGCACACTGAGGAGGTATGTGTGGGACCGGAATGTATCAGTTCAAACTAGATTCCTTTCCACTGGGCAGAATGGGAAGGGAACCCTCTCCATATTCTGAAGAATCCTCGACTGTATCTAAAAGTGGCTATAAACTGTGTCCCTTTATTTGAGGAGTGGCCCAGTTTGAAATGAAATCTTTTATATGGGGGTCTAATTTGTGCACCTGCGACTTCCTCCATTACTGTTTCTGGGAAAGCTTCTGTTAATTGAATGATACAGAGTCTCATTGAATTGCCCAGGCTGGCCTTGTAATTCCCCTGCCTTAACCTCCTATAGTGCTGGGATTACAGCACCACCACATCTGGCTGGGAGAACTCAACATTCAATAAAAACCAGCTCATGGTCATGATGTTTTAGATTATGTAACATGGAAGTCTCATTTTTATAACACTCCAAAGCTTTCTTTTTTACCGTCTAATTTTACTCATTACATCCTTTGCAATGAGCAGGCTGGGACTGATTTTCTCATCTTGACAGATGGGGAACAGTTCTAGATGGTACTGGCCCAAAGCCATGCACTTTTTTTAGGTGCAAAATGAGGAGTAAGATAAAAGGGTTCCAAATTCCAGGACCTTTTGACATTGAAAAATCTAGCTCCACAAGCACCTGCCTGGCAAGCACAAGGTCCCGAATTTTTTTATTTCTGATACTTAAAGAAAAAAAAAGAAAAGTCTAGCTCTGCATCATACCCTCAAACTGACTGACTCTTCATTCCCTTAACAGGACTAGTGGTGGTGAATCATTATTTAGCATTTCAGTTTTTTGCAGAAGAATATTATCCTTTCTCAGAGGTAAGAAGTATCCAAAGTGTCCAGCACATGCAACTAGTCCTGATGACAGAGAATAGTGGGACTTTGGATGACTTGCATTATAATCTCAGTCATGATCTGAAACTCAATCTGTGCAGGGATCACATCTTGAATAAAGCAAAACAGGATATAGATGATTTTAGAAAGCAGTGTGGCTAAGGAACAGAAGAGATCCCTTACACTAAGGTGGACACTGCTTTCTCAAGTTTTTTTTGGGTTCTAAATAGGGTTATACTGAGGCCAGAAGAAATACTGCTCAGGCCTTTTCTGACAGACTGATAGGAGGCAGTGGTGGGCTAAAACCCTGAGCCCAGCTCCCCCTGGCGGCCTCCCAGTCTCTTTCCTCCCAGCAGCTTTCCTGACTAGGCCTCCAGTTTGAAGCCCTGGGAAAGAACAAGGGCACTTCTTTGGAGAGCATGGCCATGTCAGTCATTGTCGGCTTCTCCCTTCCCCCATTGAATCATCTCTGAGAAGCCCTTGGCCTTGTGGAGATGAGGGTCAGGCCCCCTATATATGCTTAGTCGCCTCTCCAAGACCCCGGTGACCACACCCAACTCATTCTTGGTGCCTGTCTGTTGCCAGGTCCTGGCCTATTTCACTTTTTGCCTGTGGATAATCCCATTTGCATTCTTTGTGTCGCTGTCAGCTGGGGAGAATGTCCTGCCTTCCACTATGCAGCCAGGAGGTGAGAAGGGGTTTGTAATGGGTCAGATGGGGGGGGGGGCGCCTGCAAGGCCTGAGTCATCTGGGGGAACCAGGGCACAGCCTTGTGATGAGATACTGGGGCTCTGGGTGGGGAGAGCTGTGTACACATGCACTCTGTCACATGCCCATCTTCCTGCCTGTGTCTCCACAGATGACGTGGTCTCCAATTACTTCACCAAAGGCAAGCGGGGAAAACGCTTAGGTATCCTGGTGGTCTTCTCCTTCATCAAAGAGGCCATTCTACCCAGTCGTCAGAAGATATACTGACCCCCTTGGGGAGGGACTATAGGGGCAAGATTAGCGGTCAGGCCCCTGGGCCTCTGTGCTAGGTAGGGGCCAGGAGCCTGGAAGATACTTTCCACCAGCCCTGGCTTCTCTCCCCTTGGTCCTGAAGCCCCATCCTCCTTGGGGGCTCAGCTTGGTTTGGATCTGACATTGCCAGGGGCGGTAACGTCATGGCACCAGGGAGGTGGCAAAGCCTGCTTAGTCAGGTGACCTAGTCCCTCAGGCTCTTCTCCCTCTCCCAAAGTCAGTTGGGAGCTAGCTTCAGGCTCAGCCAGGGGAGGCAGGCAGGGTCCATGAAGTTGGAGAACAGCCAGTGACAAGTTCCTGGGCAGATGACTATAGGGAGGGGACACAGCTTGGCACTTCTAAGAGAAATGGATTTTGCTATTAAACTGTGATTTTTGTCCGATTGCTAATTCCCATTTGAATAAAGATTCTAGGTGACACTGTTTGCCTTAATATCCCAAAAGTTCATCTTCCTTCTTCCTGCTAAGTTTCTGCCTTGACTGGATTGGCTTTCTGCCCCAGGGGCTCCTCTCCTGGGTCTGGGTCTTGCCCTTCTCAAGGAACTCTTGTCATCCTTAGAGGGAGGGGGCAGAGGTGAGGAGCAGAGCCAGGCGGGTGTTGGGGGCAGGGGGTAGCAGCAGCCTTTCTTAGGCACCTCCCTCTCCATCTCTTCTTCCCTCAGGACTCTGGCTGTCAAGCTGGGGGTAGGAGAGGAGACAGTTTAGCATTGGGTTAGATTTTCAGGGACATCCACAGTGTTCTATTTATGTCTTCCTCTGAGGAAAAGGAGTACTTTCTGGCTAAATTCTATCTCAGGCTTTAAAAAAAAAAAAATAGCTTCCAGGCAGCCTGGGTCTAGACTGTTTTTTTTATGAAATGAGGTTGGTGGGAGAGGCTGTTTGTCACTCTTAAGAGCACACAAGGTCTGGCACTCTGTTCTGTGTGCTCCTGGCTCCTGGGGAGATGATCTCTGCCTTCCAAGAAGGCAGGCCAGGGCTCAGGCACAGACTGGCATGTGTTGACCTTGCACTCCAACTCTAGTGCCTTGCAAGTGCTCAACAGTACATATTGGAATGAAGTCCCCGCGAGAGCCCTCACTGGCCATGTGCTATACCTCACAGTGAGGCAGGCAGGATGCACTATACACTGGTGGCACCTTTAAGTCACCGAGAAGACCCCTGTGCTCGAACATATTTATATCATGCCTGTTTGTTTTCTTGGCTTGGCTTCTTTTCCCATTATACCTGTTTATTTTCTTGGCTTTAGCATTTCTGTTTTCTTAAGAATACCAGCCTCCTGCTTTCCCTGGGAGGACTAGCACATTTGGTCTTTGGATGTAACTTAGATTGCCAGGCCTCCTCCTGCTATGCGGACCAAGTAGAGGACCTGAGGCCAGTGTCCTCCCTGATGGGCTAGCAGCTGGCCCTAGTTGCCCTTGCCATCCACCTTGTTCCTCACCTGCTGAGGTGGCTTTGCTCCCGCTGTTCACTGTGCTGCTGGTCAGGGCTCTCCCAGGGATGGTCAGAGGCCTTCCAATGTGAAGTCCTGCAGACCCTCCAGACGGTATCCTGCTGGATCAGCAGCACCGGAGACCTTACCCTCTCGCTTCTTGACTTGTGCTTCCCTGGCTCTTCTGCGGCTGGTTGTCCCTGTCTCTGACTGCTCCATCAGTCTCCTTTTCTTAGGTTTCTCTGCTTGCTCCACGCACGCTGGGCTCTCAGGGTTCTGTTGTGGGCTCCCTGGGAAGCCTGCCCATGCTGATGGCTTCAGGGACTCTGCTGGGGAGCCGAGTGTTGCCCGCAGTTGCAGCATCCCTCCTGATCTGCATCACAGTTCTGCTGCCTTCCAGGTCCTTAGGCAACTGAGATTCACGGTACCTTTTGCTGTCCTCTGCAAACCTGCCCCCCCTTTCGGGTACCTGCCTAGGCCCCTGCACCACTCAGGAGACGGGAAGCTTGCTCTCAAGCTCCTGCTTTCTCTTTGTACTCCCACATCCGATCTCTGAAAACTGTAGAAACCGTTTTCTTGATGTCTCTTAGTTGCGCCCCCCTCCTCCTCATCATCTTTTACCTGGCTTGTTGTGATGGCCCCCTTACTTCTCTATCTGATGGCCAGTCACTTGTTTTTCAGAATGCACAATTGATCAAATCACTCTCTAGCTTAAAACCTTCCATAGCTCCCTACTGCCTTGAGGATGAAGACCAGACCCCTCAGCATGTGAGTCTCCTGATAGCCTGGTCCCCTCTCATCTCTGGTTTCATCTTGCACTTGGGTTCCCAGCCTCCCATAGGCAGACACACCATGGCTTGCGTTCACCATTTTGATTCCCTTTTCTTTCATTCACTTTGGTACTTTCTGTCAAGTCTCAAATTAGATTTTACCTCCTCCAAGGAGCTCTGAATGTCCTTTCTCCTTCCCTAGCCCCAGCACACCACACAGGTCATTTTGGGATTACTTGGCCTGCTTTATAATCATCTCCCCACTAGACTGTACGCTCCTTGAGGGCAGGGATTGTCCTTGCATTTTTGTATCAATTGTGCCTGGTTTGGCACCTGGCACATAGAAAGCATTCAATAAACGTTTGTTTAATGAATGAACTAATTTGTATGAGGGGATCGCAGAGGACCCCAGATAGCTTTCTACAGGAAGTACAGGTGCTTTAACAGTCTCACATAGAAACTTCAGGTCTTCCCTCTCCCCAGATGTGCTATCTGTGCTTTTCTGAATTGGTGGGAACTTGAGTGGCAGCTGGGAGTAAGGGATCACATGCTGGGGTGACACAATAGCTTTCCTTTAACCACTCTGGATCTGCAGATGAATGGAGGACGTTGGTATACACCTTAATCTCAGCACTCGGAGGCTGAGGCAGGAGAATCCTGAGCTGGAGTCCAGCCTGGGCAATTTAGCTACTCCGTAAGACCTTGCCTCAAAGACACAAAGAAAATCCCCCTGCTCCCATCAGAACAAAACAGGCTGCGGTCATAGCTTAATGTGAAGGCCCTGGATTCAATCTAATGCCACAAGGTGGAGCGGTAAGGCTTAGAGCCTACAACAGAAAAGAACTTAATTGTAACGAGACAGAATTTCCAGAGGTCCTTTTATACTGGCAGCCTTGTCTCTGGTGGGCTAGGGTAGATGTGAGGAGGCAGAAGGGAACCACAGTGTCACTTTTATATTGTTAGGGCCTAGAATAGTGATGATAGCCAGTCTGAACCTTGGGGTTCTGCCCTGTTGGATTCTCTGGGGGAGCCAAATACTTTAGTGTGCCTATTTTTTTTTTTTTTATATCAGTACCAGGGATCGAACTCACGACTACCTGCTTGCAAGGCAGGCGCTTATGCCACAGAGCTAAATCCCCAGCCTCGGGAGCCAAATACTTTGCCAAGAGGCGGCAACCTGGAGTTTGGGTTTTGGGGAGCAGATAGGGAGATCCTATATTGCAACGTGAGAGTGGGAGGCTTATAGGCAATCCTCCCTGTTCCCTCCACAGCACACATCACCACACTTCAGCATTCAGTGAGCACCCTGGGTATGGGCATTACCAAAATACCTTTACTGGGGAGCTGGAGAAGAGGGCAAGGCAGGGAGCCCCTGATGAGCTTGCATGGCTGCCAGGAAGGCGTCATCAAATGTCTGACGCAGGTTCATGGCCATAGTGTCTGTCCAAAAAATATCCTGGCCAAAGTGCCGTTTCCTGGGTACATCAAGTATGCTCTTGACGTAAAACCCCTTGGGCACCTTCATCCTGTATGGCTGCTTCCAAGGGTGCAGTATTCGGACTATCACCTCGAAAGGAAGCTGGGGTACAGGTGTCACCAAATGGCCATCCACTGTGCGCAGCTGTGCACCACCATGTGGATCCTGAGTCACCTCCAGGAAGCTGTACAAGTCATACTCCTGGCAGGGGTCTGGGTGAAGGCCCATACGGATGTCCTGTGGGCAGCAGATGATGGGAGGGCGGGATCGGGCAAGGTTAGTGCTAAGATCCCACAACTTGGGCCGAATGATTTTAGGCTGCCTGTAGATTGGCTTGGGTGGCACCTTAGGCTGAGGCATGCTTTGTAGGTGGGCCTCCATAAATTGGCAGATATTCCTGGGAATCTGGGATCCTGGGGTCTCAGAGAGGGCCTTGGGGCAAGTTGGGGCACCAGCCTCTTGCTTGGCGTTGGAGACCTGGGATTGAAGCAGCTTTTGATGGAGCCACTTCCTGAAATCAGCCTCTATCAGAAGTTGATGTTCTTTCTGCAACAAAAGGCACATAACAGTAGTGGAGGGCTGCTTCGTATACATGGAATGAGACTTTGTGGCTGCAGTCCTTGGACATCTCAGGCCTAAATGGTAAGACATTGTCCTCGCTTCCGGAACACCTAAGGTTGATAAAAGAAATAACCTACCTTATGGGAGCACTTGTTCTGATGGAGGAGACAACTGTTACTCTAAGGGAGCTCCTGGGCTGAGGGGGAGATAAAACCTCTTCGATAGGGGAGCCTCCAACTCCAGGGGAAATACAGCCTCTGAGCTGGGGGAGCCTCCAACTTGAGCAGGGAGACACAATCTCCACCCTAAGGAAAACACCCCTTTTATGGGGAGAAAAGTTCCCTCACCCAGAAGAATGTCCAGTCTGATATATCCTGCCATGAGTGTCTCTGATTTAATGGGGTAACAGGCAAATGAGAAAAATAAAATAGAAGGATGGCCCCCCAGGCTGGGAAGCAGTGACTACAGAGCTCTGTCCTTGCTTCCACTAGAACTGAGCCTTCTACCTGTTAAAACCTCCCCACCCTGTTTATCTCTGTCTTACTCTAGGACTGTTGCTAAGCAATCACATGCTTTGGAGATTGACCCAGCTTCAGGGTTGGCTCTGATTAGGCTAAGCCAATCATCATAATTCCATTATCCTTGTCCCACACCTAAGTCAGTCAGCAGATGTCTTTCCTTTAGTTCTAGTCATTGGAGCAAACATGGACACACGATTGAGGCCAAGGAGAGGATCCCTGAGTGGAGGTCTACAAGGGGCTTCTGGGAGGAAATAGGTCCACAGGAAATGGATGGCCTCTGCCTCCTCTGCATCTTCGTGTGGCTATGAGGGCTGAGTGGTACGGACAGTGAGGAACACAAGGAGAGAAATGCAGCTGGAATAGAGCTGGGGAAGTGGTGAAGCGGTAGGCCCCTGAAGCCTTCCCCATTTTGGGACTGCCAGGATTCCCAGCACCTTTCTGCTTATACCTGCTTACAATCCTCTGGCTCCCAGAATCCTTCATTGATCTGGACCCCTGCCAGATCTCAGCTCACATCTGGCCCCCATCTGTTCTCTGTGTACATCATGTTCCCATATACTCCTGTGCCTTTCCATGCAGCTGTTCCTTCTGCCTGGTCAGCCTTTGCCTTCTTCTTCTCAAGGCCAAATGCTGACCATCTTCAAAGTCTCCTCCTCAGCATCCCTTCCCGAACCTTCTTAGACCTCCATGGGAATGTAACCTACTTGCTTGCTAGACTCTAAGCAGGGGGGGGGGCACACCAAACTTGTTTGGCAATGAGTGCTGAGTGTCTGCTGGGAAGGACAAATCTTTTTACCCCCTAGTACTGGGGGTTAAATCCAGAATTTTCACACTGAGCTACATCCCCAGCCCTTTTTATTTGATTTTATTTTTAATTTTGAGACAGAGTCTCAGTCACAAAATTACTAATTCTGGGATCTAACTTGCAGTTTTTCTGCCTCAGCCTCCCAGAGTGCTGGGATTATAAGCAGGCACCACCATGCTCAGATTTGCATCCTCTTTTTAACCATAATATGAGTCCCAGTGATGGAAGGGGCCTGGCTTATTAGAGATTCTCATCCTGAAGCAGGGCAGTGCACCAGGCTTGTGATTACTTGTTGATTTGATATGTTTGCTTTTTGATATACAACAATAATTGTGTCCCGAAGAAGGGGATTTTAAGGGAGGAAATTTGGCAGAGCCTGGGGAGTGCTTTCTGGGTTTGAGTGCTTCTATCTACCCTTCTCACCACAACCATGGGTCCCTCCCTGCTCACAAGCCCGCACAGCAGCTGGTGCCTGGCCCCGCCCACTCGCCCTTACTTGATGCTGAATCAGGTAGCTGCGTTCCATGAGAGTCAGCTGGTCCTTGAGGCGCTTCAGTTTCCTCATCTCACAAGCAAAGTCCTTCTTGTCCCGTTTCCACATTGCATCCTTCAAGAACCTGCACCAGGGTTGGGGTGTATCATCCTACAGAGTTTCCATGGGGGGGGGGCTGGGAAGGCTGGTGAATGCTGAGGGCCTGGATGGAGTGGGGGGTGCCGCTGGAGTAGGGATGAGGAAGGTGGCCCATCCCCACTGTCAGGCCTCTTTGGCTAACTACTTCCTTTGGGGGGAAAGAGAGCACGATGGGCTCCTGCTGGGCAGCCAGAGGACCCAGAGCAAAGAAGAACAGTTTGTAATCTAAAGGAGCAAGGCCTGGAAAAAGCCTGCCAGTAATATCCTGGGAAGGGGTCCTCCTCAGTGGGTTTATCCCTTTGTCTTCTGGTTACCCAGACCCAGCCTTGGGTGAGAGCCCTGAGTAAGGGGTGAGAGAGGGCTGGGAAATGGGGCGGGGTGGCAGGCTTCAGGTGGTCCTCACGCGCTCACCGGGCACAGGCACGGTGGTTCCATATTTTGCAGTAGTCGATGGGCTTGCAACCCATAGAATCCTGGGCGTGGACATTGGCACCACTCTGCACCAGGACCTTTATGCAGTCCAGTAAGCCGTCACGGGCCGCCAGGTGCAGAGCTGTAAAGCCATTGGCTGCTGCACTGGAGCCCCGCCCCCAGGAGAAAAGAGCAGAAAGACGGACAAGAACGTTGCTCATCAGATGGGTAGAGAAAGCAGCTTCCAAACCCCTCTCTGCCACCAGCTCACTGGTGACCCTGACCATGTCTGTTGTCCTCTCTGAACCTCAAGTTTCTACAGGAAGAGATTGGACCAAATAAACACTGAAAAATCTGACTATAAGAGACAGGTGACAGGTGAGCTTCCTGAAGGAGAGCCAGGTTGGTTCAGAAGCCACGAATGTTAAACCAGCCCCTCCCCATTCCTTGCCATTGCCCACAAGGGTCAAAGATCTGGATCCTCCCTCTTTGACCCCTGACTTTGCCACTCTTTCCCAAACATGCTCTTTGCATATGATGTCCCCTCTGCCTGGAACACATCTCCCTGGCTCTTTGATAGCTGGCTCCCTTCGTCACCAGGTTGCAATTTCAGTATCGAGTCCTTAAAGATGATTGCTTCTTCCAACATAGATGTTCCTTCTCCTGTCCCTTTGCTCCCACCCCATCACCTTATTTCTTTTGGAACCACTTCCAATGATTTGTCCGAATTTATTCACTTTTCTGGAATGTAAGCTTCACAAGGGCAGGGCTCTTTCTGTGTGTTAACTGCTATACTCTTGATTCTCAAATAGTGTTTAGTGGCACATAGTACATGTGTGACAGATATTAATGAACACAGTGTGTTATATGCCTTGTATTTCCTGTTATCACAGTAGCACCAGGTGATATATACTGTCATCCTTCCAAATCCCAGATGGAGACACTGCTGTTGTTCCTAAACTTGTAAATTAGAAACATCCAGGGATCTTTTGCAACTTCCAAAGCCCAGCCATGTTACAGAGCCATTAAATCACAACCTTCAAAGTGGACAACAGGTGTTGGTATTTTGAAGCTCCCAGGAGTTTCCAGTGTCCACAGGAGGAGCACTGAGGCTTAGGGGCTGGTGATTGCCTGAATTCCCCCGTCTCCCAGCAAGTGGCCAAGCCAGGATGTGAACCGGGTCTGCCGTCTCTCAGAGCCTAACGACACCCCACCCCAACTGCTCCCCTGCGTCTGTCCTGGAGTAGGTTGGACTCACGTGTTGATGGCGGCCCCCTTCTTGAGCAAGTAGTGAATGCAAGGAACAGCGAGGGTCTCGTTGTCCTTGCGGATGACAAGATGGAGAGGGGTCTGGCGACGGTTGGTGCGCAGGTCCACCGGAACCTTGTACTCTTCTATCAAGATCTTCATGCACACGAGGTTGCCCCGCTGGGCTGCGAAGTGGATGGCGGTGAAGCCCTGCGGCGTTCAGAGTGGGACAGGAGGAGGCCGAGAAGCTCTGGGTCCCAGCGACCACCAGCTAGCCACAGCCACAGAGCCTTCCCTTCTTGCCTGGGCCCAGGCGCTTGCACCCCTTCCTGCTCCTGGTGCACGTCACCTCCCAGGGAAGGGGAGGTAGGCCTGGGCACACCGAAAGTCCTCCGCTGCCCGCGGAGCTCCGCGGGCTGGGGTGGGAGGAGACTTGTCCCAGAGCGTGCCAAGGCCTCACCTTCCGGTCGCTCCGGATCTCCCCCTGGTCCCGATTCAGACAGAATCGCAGCCACTCCTCGTTGCCCACCGCTGCCGCGAACAGCTGGGAATGGTTCCTCGACGACTCGGAGACGGAGGAGCTGGAGTCCGCGAGGGCGGGAGTGAGCGCGGCTGGCGACACCGGCCCGCGGCCGCCTCCCCGAGCGCCGGACCCCGCCCGGCCTCCAGGCGGCAGTGTCCCCGCCCGCCGCCGGCCCCCTTCGCTCCATCCACCTGGACAGCTGGGTCTCGAGGCCGCTCGGGGTGACGTTCGGAGCGACGTGCGGCGCCTTCGGCCGGCAGCCAGGCCGCGCTCGCCTCCACTCTCTCCCTCCCGGGTCCGGGGTCCCCGGCTGCGCCCCGGCAGCGCCCGCGCGCGCGGAGGCCGAGGCCAGGCTGCAACCCGGCGTCCAAGCCGCGGGCCGGGCCGGGCGGGGCGCGCCTCCCGCCGAGCCCCTCGGGGCGTCCTCTCCGCTGCTGGCAGCCAGGGCGGCAGGACCCTTCCTGGCCGCAAAGGTCTCGTCGACTCGCTCGCTGGAGACGCAGAGGTCTGCAGCCCCGAGACCCCTGCCCACCACCACCCCGCGGCCTGATCGGGGCCGACACCCGTGGCCCAGCTGCCTGGACCACTGCCCCGGAGACAGCAGCGCGCCCAGCGCCTGTCCTCATTACATACGTAGAGCACAGAACAGTACAGGGTGGAAATTAAGTCACCATCTCAACACACACACACACACACACCGCAGACACATAATTGCATCTTTTCACTTAGCGACACATTATGAGCTAGCCCGATCGTCGCTCCACATCCCCGCTGGACATTGTGACGTCCCCGCAGCCCAGCCTCACCGTGGATGTTTGCCTGCCTGCTGCTGCAGAAAGCAAACGGCTCCACGCTGGTTGCTGAGGGCGGGCTCCTGGCTGTAGGACGACGGGTGAAGCCAGTGAGTATTTTCAAGTTGTTGATGTGGAGTTTTATATTCACTGTCCCTTTGGCCTGCTGTGAAGCAGGTGTGTGGGTGCTCCACCCCAAATCAGCAGCGTGGCTTTGGGGCAGTTAATTGACCTCCTGTGTTACTTCCTGCCTCAGGGAAAACGGAAATCAGCACCTGCCTCAAGGAGGGAAGTCAGGCAGGGAGTGAGACGTGTTACACAAGAAGCACCATCTAAAAATGCTATTATTTAAAGAAAGCACTGTTAAAAGCATCATAGCACCAGATGTTATGGTTTTAAATAATTGTTTGCTAACCTGATAGTGGAAACAGTGTCCTGAGGAGGCTCTTTGATTAACAAAGGTTATTTTTTTAAACAGTAATGAAGACTGAACTCAGGACTTTCACATTGAATTTTAAAAGTTTGAGGCAGGGGCTCTCAAAGCTGCTAAGCTGCTCAGGGTGTGCTCAGACTTGGGCCCTTCCTGTGTCTGTAGCCCAGAGAACCGGGATGGCAGGTGTGTGCTTCCTCCATGCCCAGCTGTGTTAAAGGTTTAACTGTCAGTGTTTATCTTTTCTGGGAGTTACCTGCTTATTCACGTTGTTCTTTGAAAATCTTTGTTTTTCTTATTAATCTGTAAAACTTATTAGCATAGTGATACTTTACATTTGTTGCCAATATTTTCCTCAATTTGCCTTTTGACTGTTTTCTAAAGTAACCAAGCAATAACTGTTGTTTGATCCAATGTATCTTACTGCCATTGGCATTCTCCTAAGCTTATCAGCAGGTTTCCGAAGCTATAGGGCCAACTCTGGTAATATTTGAGCTCACCGCCCATTTCTTATCACCTTCTCCCCACTGAACCCTGCCTGATTTTCTAGGTATTTTCCCCAGGAAAGCTGAAGGAGACAGGATCCCCTAAGATCATAGTGACCTATGGAAAGCGACAAAAATACAGATGATGGTAGTTCATTTAGTGGCAGGTCTTCATTCCAGCTGAAACAACTTTTCAGGCCAGTTTCCTTACTATCTAGTTGTAATTTTGGAGGACAGAGAGAATATAATGCTGTCTTGGGGCAGACATCCCATCTGGGAAGAAAATTTACAAGAAGGTCCTGCAGAAAAGAGACAGAAGGTCTACCTCTTGGGACAAGATTGGAAGAGTTTTCTGTAGGGGAGGGGAAGAAACAGAAACACCGGAGATCAAGTCATAGTCCTTAAAACACATTTCCCATGAGCGACCTCATTCCCTATCTGTTCTTCCCAGTGCTCTCAATGAACACTTCAAATCCAAATCATTTCTTTTCTTTGGCTTTGGAGCAATCCCACAGGGTCAAGAGAGTCCTAATTGGGCTAGCATCTCCCCCCGCACTTGGTGTCTCCAAATGGGCAGTTATTGTGAAGCACTTAGATCTAGAAGGTTATTTAATCAGACTATCATCTGAGTATCACATTAGTGCAAATGATCCCAAGAGGTACACGGAATGTAATTCCAATGTTTTCTGGACTCTTGGGATCTAGAGTAAATTTGTCTGAAAAATATGCACAACCTCCACATCTGGAATGGTAGCATGAGGAGCTCTGTAGACCTAATCATCAGGAAACAACAACAATTATTCAAATTTATTTTACAAGCCAGCTGTTCAAAGTCTCAGGACATTATCCTTAGGCACCTAAAAAAATGAAGAAGCATTCGGAAATCTAAATCTCAGTAAGAAGTGAGATGTGTGGCATTTCAGCCATGACCCATTTATTCCCTCCCCTCCCCTTATATCAGAGCAATGACTGACACTCCCATGTGGAAGAAAATGGGCCAAGAAAATGGGCCCTCTCTCCCTAGCTGATTCTAATGTTCAGCCAGAGCTGCAAAACACTGGGACTAGGTGTGGCTGTGCCTGCCTGTAACCCCAGCACTTGAAAGATTGAAGGAGGAGGATTGCTATGAGTTTGAGGTCAGGCTGAGCTACATGGTGAGTTCAAAGCCAGCCAGAACTACACAACAAGACCTTATATCAGAAACAAAAACAAAACAAACAAAATACAGAAAAGCAAAGGGAAAATTTTGAAAGCATAAGAAAAATAACACTTCTCAGACAAAGGAATCCTTGCTGCTCATCAGAAACAATGGAAGCAATCAAAACAATAAAAACTGTCAATCAAGAATTTTATGCCCAACAAAACCATTGTTCAAAAATGATGGCAAAATAGATTAGCTGATAAGCCAAAACTCAGAGAATTTATTCCAGAAACCCAGCCTTATATGAATTACTAATAAAGGTCCTTCAGGTTAGATCTAAGCAGCCCTTGGGATAATCTGACACTTCGCCAAACGAAAACAAAATGAAAAAATGTAAGAAAATATACAAATAATATTTCTCACATTACATTAGTATAGATGTGAAATAGATTCTGATAAGCTAAAATGAATAGGAAAATAGCACAAAAGTAAAGTGAAAAATCATTAAAGGAATTAAAGTATTAGAAAATATTAAAAAATATTAAAGGAATTAAAGTATACTAGAAAATATTAATGCAAAAGGAAGTATTAAAAAAGGAATGAAAAACAAAGAAGATATGACAAAAACAGAAACTAAAAGTAGTAGGTGTGTGTCCATATCACTACACAAATCAGTCAGATTGGATAAAAATCAATATCCAACAATATACATTCTTCTTCAGCACACATGAAATATTCGCAAAACAAACAAGACTCAATAAAATTAAAAGAAAATCATACATAGAATATTCTCTACACTGAAATAAAATTTGAAACTAGTAAGAGAAACTCAGAAAGTTCACAATTATGTACAAATTAAACAATATACTCTGAAATATAAATAAGCCAAAGAATATCTCAAGGGAAATTAGAAAATGCTTCTGGATGAATGAACACAATATAAAAAAATCAAAATGTAAAAGTTACTTTGAAAAAAATATCAACAAAATTGTCAAAGCTTTAGCTAGACTGAAAAAGAAAGTGAGATTTCCTAAAATGAGGAATAAAAGTGGGGATATTGCTACTTGGGAAGAAATTAAAACCTGAATGGACTTCTAACAGCTAAAGAAGTTAAATTAGAAATGGAAGCAGTAACAACAACAAAAATGCCCAGATCAATGAAATTAGAAATAAAACAATGAAATCACAAGGGACACTTCCAAAATTCAGATTAATAACTGCTTCAAACATTGCACTTGAAGAATTGGATTGCAATTGCAATTGTAAATTGGAGAATCCAAAAGAAATAGATTCCTAGTAACAAAATTGAGCCAAGAAGATGTAAAATCCTTGAATAATCCAGTAACAAGTAATGAAATCGAGACAGTAATAAAAACCTACCATTTAAGAAAAGCCCAGGACCTAATAGATTCAGTGCTGAAGTCTACCAGAACTTCAGGGAAAATCTAATACTAATACTTCTCAAACTCTTTAATAAAATTGAAAGGGAAGGCATATTGCCAAATGTATTTCTAAAAACTAGCATTACCCTTATTCTAAAATCAGACATGGACTCAACTAAAAAAGAAAATTATGAGTCAAGATCTTTAACAAACATATACACAAAAATGCTCACCAAGATACTGGTGAACAGAATAAAAAATGCTATAAAGATCATACATCATGATCGAGTAGGCTTCATCCGAGGAGAGCAAGGATGATTCAACATATGCAAATCAACAAATTATGTGTAGTACATCACATAAACAGGAGGCAAGGACAAAAATCACATGATCATCTCAACAGATACAGAAAAAGCCTTTGACAAAAATCCAACATCTATTCCTGATAAAAAGCACGGAAGAAAATAAGCACAGAAGAATTTTATCTCAAGCCAATAAAATCCATTTATGCCAAACCTACTGCCAACATCGTATTAAATGAGGAAAAACTGAAAGCTTTTCCTCTAAAACCAGGAACAGGACAAAGATGTCCACTATCACCATCCTGTTCAACATAGTACTCAAAACCATAGCCGGAGCAACCAAGCAAGAGAAAGAAGTAAAAGCAATATGATAGGAAAGTTAGACTATTCTTATTACATGATCTCAAAATTCCATCAAAAAAACTCCTAGAACTAATAAATTCAGCAAAGTAGCAAGATATAAAATCAACACAAAAAACCAATAACATTTCTGTATACCAATAATGAACCAAGAGAGATAGAAACTAAGAAAACACTACTACTTACAAGAACATCAAGAAAAATATTTAGAAAGTAACCTAAGCAAGGAAGTGAAAGATCTCTATAACAAAAATCATGATACTTCAAAAAAGGAGATTGAAGAGAATATCCGAAAATGGAGATATTGTCTGTTCCTAATTAGGCAGAACAAACACTGTCCAAATGGCTATTCTACCAAGAGTGATATATAGATTTAATGCAATCCTAAGTAAAATTCCAACAGTATTTCTCATAGAACTAGAAAAAACAATTCTGAAGTTCATATGGCATCAGAAAAGATGAGATTAGTGGAAGTAACCTTTGGCAACAAGAGGAAAGCAAGAGGCATCACAATCTCAGATTTTAAGTTACAATACAAAGTTACTGTGATAAACGTAGCATGTTTTTGGTACAAAATGAGACAGGGGATCAACAGAACAGAATAGAGGATACAGAAACAACCTCAGGCACATTCTGTCATCTGATCTTTGACAAAGGGACCCAAAAAGTACGCTGGAGGAAAGATAGCCTAACAAATAATACTGGGAAAACTGACTGTACGTATGAAGAATATTGACTCTATATCCATATTGCTCATCATGTACTAAAATAAAGTAAAAATAGATCAAAGATCTAGATATAAAAACAAATGCGATCTGTTAGATGACAGAATGGGTAAAACTCTTGAAGACATAGGTGCAGGCAAGGGATTGCTGAATAGAACAAGAAATAATATAAAAATCCAACAGATTAGACTATATCAAAGTCATGACACTATCTTTCTTTCTTCTTTTTTTTTCCTTTTTATCGGTACCAGGATCGAACTCACGACCGCCTGCTTGCAAGGCAGGCGCTTATGCCGCTGAGCTAAATCCCCAGCCCCAAGATTATATCAAAGTGAAAACCTTCTGCACAGTAAAGGAAACAACCAATAGAGTGAAGAGACAACCTGCAGGATGGGAAAAAATATTTTACCAGCTTCTTCTTTGGCAGAGATCTAATATCTAGACTATATAAAAGAGTTTTAAAAATTAGACTTTCTCCAAATAAAAGAGCCAAACAAAAATGGGCTCTTGAACAGATACTTCTCAGAAGTACAAATGGCCAATAAACACATGAAAAAATGTTCACTATCTCTGGCTACTAGAGAAATACAAATTAAAACAACACTGAGATTCCATCTTACTCCAGAAAGGATGGCTATCCTCAAGAAGTCAAATAGCAATAATGCTGGTGAGGCTGTGGGAAAAAAGAATGCTTCTACATTGTTGGTGAGAATATAAACTAGTACCACCACTGTGAAAATCAGTATGGAGATTCCTCAACAAACCAGAACTAGAAATTCCATTTGATACAGCTATTCCCCTTCTAGGTATCTTCCTGAAAGAGTTAAAGACCTCATGTTAAGGTGATACATGGATACCAAGGTTATGGCAGGACAATCTGTAACAGCTAAATCTTGAAAGTGGCCCATATATCCAACATATGAATGGATAAATTAAATGTATTTACACACTATGAAAATTTCTATACCATAAAGACGGATGCATTTGATTCATTTGTAGGAAAATGGATGCACCTTGAGACCAGAAAGTTAAGTGAAATAGATCAGACCACCTTAAATATCTCATGGTTTTTCTTACCCCAATATAAGTAATTTAAATGAAATAGAAGCAGGGAGATAGATCTTTAGCAAATGGAAAGGGAACCAAGAGATGGATGGAGGTGGGAAGGGGACACGGAAGTAAAAAGAATTAGGATGTGTTATGTATGTGTCCCACCTCTCATAATGAATGTAATCATTATGAACTGCAATCACGTACTAACAAAAATAGAAAAAATTTAAAATATTTAACACAAAGGTTGCAAGCATTTCCAAAAAAACAAAATAGTAAAGAATCCTATAAGACTAACATTATCCTGATACTAAAATCAGACAGAGACTCTTAAGAAAAAATGACTATAGCCCAGCATCTCTTATGAATGTAGATGCAAACATTTCCAACAAAACACTAGCAAACCAAATGCATGTACGAGGCTGTAAACCATGGCAAATACAATTTATTCCAAGAGTGCAAGTTTAGTTTAACATCTGAAAATCAATTCTGTATGTCATAGAATAAACAAAAAGCCCATGGTCATCTCAAAGAACAACACCACAAAAGACCACTTGACAAAATTTCAAGCTTTCTCATGACAAAGCAGAAAACAAACTTAGATTGGAATGAATTTCAACTTGATAAAAATCTATGAACACTCCAGAGCTGGCATCAGACTTACAGCGAATGACTAATACTTTCCCCTTAAGATTAGGAACAAGAAAAATACATAACCATTCTTGCCACTTCTATTGAACACTGTACTGTGTTAGAGGCTCTGGCTAGAGAAATTAGGAAAGAAACTGAAAACAGCCATCTAGATTTGAAAAAAGTAAAAATGTCTCTATAGATGGCATGATTCATATAGCGAAATTTCTAAGGAATCTGTTAAAACATATTAGAACTAATAAGTGAGCCCACCAAACTGCAGAGTATAACAATGTATAAAAATAAGTTACATTTCTATACATTACCAACAAGCAGTCTGAAAATAAAATTAAGAAAATATTTCCATTTACAATGGCATTAAAGGAATAATAGATTTTTTTTTGTCTTTTTCATTTTTATTGGTACCAGGGATCGAACTCACGACTGCCTGCTTGTAAGGCAGGCGCTTATGTCCCTGAGCTAAATTCCCAGCCCGGAATAATAGATTTAACAGAAGTACAAAACTTACTTTCTGAAAACTACAATACTTAGTTGAAAGAAATGAAAAAAGACCTAAATAGGAAAAATAATTCCACATTCATGTATCACAAAATAGTAAAGATAACAATACCACACAAATCAATGCACACATTTAATGCAATCCCCATCATAATTTGTGCTGGGTTCCTGGCAAAACTTGACAAGCTGGCTTCTTTGCAAAAATGAAAATTCCCAGGGATATTCTAGCCAAAAATATATGAAAAAAGTTGGAAAACTACACTTTCCTGATCAAAACTTACTATAAAGCTACAGTAACTAAGAAAGTGTGGTACTGGCATAAGGATGGAGATTATCTATCTACCTAACAAAAATAAGCCCTTACAACATTAATGGTCAACTGACTTTTTTTTCTAAGACAATTCAAAAGTGGGAAGAATAGTATTTCTGAAAAATGCGTCAGACGAATGAAGTTGGGTCCCTACCTTGCACGATACACAAAAATTAACTCAAAATGACTGAAAGACAAATATAACAAAAACTATAAAACACTGAGAAAAAGTAAAACATAAATTTTCATGATATTTGTCTTAGTTACTTTTTTGTTGCCGGAACAAAATACCCGACACCCACAAGTTGAAGAATGAGAGATTTCTTTTGGCTCACAGTTTATAGAAGTTTCAGTCCACAGTCAGCTTGCTTTAACATAGGGCAGCACAGCAGGGGCTCTGGCAAAAGAGAGACAGCTCACACCATGGCAGGAGGAAGCAGAGAGAGAGATATTAAAGGAGGGGGAGGGAGAGAAACACTCCAGGCCATGCTCACAGACACTCACCTCCTCAGACCATGTGTCACCTCCTGACATCACATTATCTATAAACTCATCAGTGGACTGATCCACAGATGAGTATCATGTTCCTATGATCCAGTTACCACCCAAAAGCCTCACCTATGAGTACACAGGCTTTGAGAGAAACTAGATATAAAACATAACAGTGTGGAATTATGCAATGAGTTCTTAAATGAGACACCAAAAGAAACAAAGAAAAATAAATCTGGATGTAGTAAAAATTTACAATTTCTATGCTTCAAAGGGTCCCATCAAGAAAATGAAAAAAATGACACACTGATTGGAAAAAATATTTACAAATCATTAGTAAAGGATTCATGTCTAGACTATACACATAAACTTTACAACTCAATAATAAAAAGATAATTCAATTATAAATACGCAAAAGGGCCGGGTGTGGTGGCACATGCCTGCAATCCCAGCACTTGGGAGGCTGAAGCAGGAGGATGGCTGTGAGTTCAAGGCCAGCCTCGACTACATAGTGAGTTCAAGGGCGGCCTGAACTACACAGCGAGACTATCTCAAAACAAAACAAACAAAAAATAGGCAAAAGGTCTGAACAAATGTTTTCCTAGAGTAGTTAATAAATGGCCAATAATCACAGGGAAAGCTGATCAGCATTGTTACTTGACAGGGAATTGAAAATCAAAAGCACAATGATATACTACTTCATATCTGCTAATACGGTTGTAATAAACAGGATAATTACAAGGGCTGTTGAGGATATGGAGAAGCTGAAACCTTCACACACTGCTTATAAAAATTAAAATCATGCAGCCTCTTTGGCAAACAGTCGGGAAGTCAGATAAACTGAGCTACCATCTGATTCAGCAATTCTCTTCCTAGGTGACACCCAGGGGAAATGAACATATAGGTACACACAAAAACGTGTACATGAATGTTCAGAGCAGCATTATCCAGGTTAGGCAAAAAATGGAAACAATGCACATGTCCATTGACTGGTGGGTAAATAAAAGCTGGTACATCCACCCTGTGAAATATTACTTGGCAATTAAAATAAACAAAGTTCTGATAGATGCTTCAGCACGAATAAACCTTCAAAATGTTTGTGAAGCAAAAGAAGCCAGTCACAAAAGGCCACATAGTGTATGATTCCATTTATATGAAATGTCCAGAACAGGCAAATTCATAGAGATACAAAGTAGATTCATGGCTGCTTAGGGATGGGGAAGGAATGGATTGGTTGGAGGTATAGGATTTCTTTTGGGGGCAATAGAAATGTCCTAAAATTGATTGTGGTCATGGTCATTCAACTCTGTGAATATACTAAAAACTATTAAATCATACAGTTACAAATAGGTAAATTGTACAGTATGTGGATCATATCTCAATAAAACTGTTATTGAACAACAACAACAAAAACTCTATGCACAGTGCACAGCCAAATCTCTCCCCAGGACGGTTGTGAATTGTCATGGGAACAGGATGCCTATCTTTGGGCCTCCTTTGGTGTTAGCCCTTGATCCAAGAATTCTGACAGGGTTCTAGGCCACAGTGACTCAGAAATGAAAAGCATTGCTTGGCTAAAGTTCCATTTCCCCCAGCCACCCTTTCCCTTTTGAAAAGCATTCATGAATTCTTCATAGATTCACGACTTCTTTGCATGGGCAGAGAAACAGAAGACAGGATGACATCACAGAGGAGCAGGCAGCTTTCAAAGGAGTTCCCGGCAGCCTGAGTTTTAGAGCACTCTTCACCCATCTCTTCACTTCCTCAGCCTTCTGCACTGTCATGTCCCTCGGGCTACGTCCCTGACAACTATCCTCCCTCCCTGTCTGCAGCAAACCAAGCTACTCCCAGCATGTCTCCTGCAGAGATGTGTACAGTAAAAAAAAAAACAAAAATCATTTGTGGCTATGAATTTCTCTTCCATGGCCACTGAGCTTAAGTTCTACCCAAAAAATTTAGCAAGATATTTTAGAAAGATAAATATCTTCCTAAAAGGAATTTATTGTCACCTCTTAAGGCATAAGTGCGCTTTTTGTTTGCGTATTTTCCTTTTGTGGTTCTGGGGATTGAACCCCAGAAAGTGTTGGGTTGTATCTCTAGCCATTTTAAGTTTTGTGACAATGTTTTGCTGGGTTGTCCAGGCTGGCCTAAACTTTCGATCCTCTTTCCTCAGCCTCTGGAATACATATGATTTTAGGGAGAAAAAAAAATACTTTAATGACCTCCATGTATCCATCATCTATATCTAAAAACAATTTATTTCTTATCAATCTGGTTTTCACTAAGATAAATTCATCTCAATCATTCTTATTTGACGTAAAAATATACAGCTAGGGGTGCATCCTGGTGGCAGAGCCTGCTTAGCATGCAAGAGGCCCCAGCTGGATCTCCAGCGCCGCACAAACATACAAAATACCATGTAAAATAAAAATACGGATGCGCCAGTCCTAAGTCATAGGTCACAGGTTTACCAGCCCTCACGGTTCTTTCCGAGTGCTGCGAGCGGAGGAAGCCAGATGGAGCGTGCGAGCCCGCATAGCCTGCAGGAGCGGCGAGCTCCAGGTGCGGGCGGAAGGTGGCGCTGCGGACGGGAAGGAGTGGGGAGCGCGCGCGCCTAGAGCGCCGTGTAGGACGCGGCGTCCTGCGGCGCCCCCTCGCGGGCGTAGAACTCGTCGAGCACGCTCTGCGGGATGCGCTTCAGCATCTCTTTGGGGAAGATCCGCAGCAGCTTCCAGCCCAGGTCCAGAGACTCGAACACCGAGCGGTTCTCGTAGGGGCCTGGGACCGAGCAGCCGTGTTAGGAGCGGGAAGACCGGGAAGAGGCGACGCCTCCGCGCCCGCGGTGCGCCCCCGCCTCACCCTGGTTGATGAAGTTCTTCTCGAACTTGTGCAGGAATTCCAGGTAGAGCAGGTCCTCGGAGGTGAGCGCCTCCTCCCCCACCACCGCCTTCATGGCCTGCACGTCCTTCCCGATGGCGTAGCAGGCGTACTGGAGGGAGGGCACAGGAGCCAGCCTGGTCACCTCGGGGTCCGCTGGGCCCCCACCTGGCCGGGCTGGGGACTCAGGCCGGGAGAAAGGCTTGTCCAGAGTGGAGCTCAAACCTCCAGCTTCTGCAACGGGATAACCCCCGGCCCCTGGTCCTTTCGGCCTTACCAGCTGGTTGGAGACGTCTCCGTGATCCTTTCTGGTCATGCCCTCCCCGATGGCGGACTTCATCAGTCGAGACAGGGAAGGGAGCACATTGATAGGGGGGTAAACCTAGGGCAGGATAAGGGAGTGGCAGACACGGAGTCCAAGCTTTATTTTCTGTCCACGCTGCCTGTCTCTCCTCCCCTGTGGTCCTCAGACGAGCTGTCCCCATTCATCCTACAGAGAAGGAAGCTGCCACCCCTCCCATCTCCCATAAATTCTGGGGCAGGCGTCTACACATGTGGTCCTAGACAGGATACTGGGCATGGGGAGATGACACAAGGTGGTTAAGAAAAGGTTGGCCCTTTCAATGCTTGACTATTTGGACACAAAAAAATCAGATTGAAATTTAACAGGAGCCGCAAAGAAACAACCTGAAAAGAAAAAAAAGTCACGGATGCAGCCATTAACTTCTGGACAGGGCAGACACATTTTCTGACATTTTGGCACATTATTCACAATCTGTTTGTGTTAGTTATCTCTTCTTTTCTGCTCACGAAAGGGAAGGGAACTAGTATTTATTTAGTATCCGTTATCTTCCAGATATTTCCTATATGGCAACTGATTGTATCTCCCACGAGGCATTGGTGTCGTATTATTTCTATCTCATGGGAGAGGAATCCTGCCTGGGCTCAGGAAGATGGGGTTATTTTCTCAAATTCCCACAGGCAGGTGGGTTGGATTCTACCCAAACTGAACTTTCCAGGGCATGCCTCCGCTGGGGGCTGTCCCTCATCCAGGCACAGGGAGTGGTGGGCACTTGTTATTCTGTGTCTTTGGGGGTGAGAACAGATGGCAGACAGGAGGAGGAATACCTGTCTGTTATGTAGCTGTCTGTCCACGTAGATCTGTCCTTCAGTGATGAAACCCGTCAAGTCTGGGATGGGGTGGGTGATATCTGCAGGAAAATGCCCTGGTCTCAGTGTGGATGGGGCCCAGGTCTCCACTCACTCAAGGCCACCCAGGTCTCCTCAAAAGAGTGATGAGAGGGGAGCAGGTGAAGGGGGAAGGACAGTGTCTACCCTGATGGAGGGTCAGAATTACTGCACTTCCTTGCAAAGCAGCACAGGCTAATTTTCTGGGTAGGAAGGGGAGGTATAGGGATTCTCAGGGCTGAGGCTTGCAGGGAAGGCTACCATCATTGGGCATGGTGAGGATGGGGATCTGCGTGATGGATCCTCCTCGGCCCTCCACGCGGCCCGCCCTCTCGTAGATGGTGGCCAGGTCTGTATACATGTATCCGGGGAAGCCTCGGCGCCCAGGCACTTCCTCTCTGGCAGCTGAGACCTGCAATACCCATGGGCACTGAGGTAAGGAAGAGGCAGAGAGGCTGATCTTCAGAGGGGTGAAGAACAAGGTGGAGCCAGAAGAGGAATGAGCAGTGGTGACTGAGCCCCAGAGCAGGCCTGGGTGGATGAGTTCCCTCTGTTCTCAAGGAGACCCCTGAACCTCAAGCCTTGGGAGACGCAGGGAAGCACTTGGCACGCCTTGCCAGCCAACTTACCTCCCGCAAGGCCTCTGCATAGGAGCTCATGTCGGTCAGTATGACCAGCACGTGCTTCTCACACTGGTAGGCGAGGAACTCGGCAGTGGTCAGTGCCAGGCGTGGGGTGATGATTCGTTCGATCCTAGATGAGAGGTGCAGCTGGTGTTCAAAGAGCCTGGACACCCAGGCCTGCACCCCTCATTGTCCCAGAGCTGAGTGTAAGGTGAACTAGGCAGCTGGTTTCTGTTTATGGTAGCAGAATGTATGAGATGAGCCCCTGCCCCACACCCCAGGTCAGGTTCCCAGGAGCGAGTCTGACAGCCCCATCTCTTGTCATGCAGGAGAGGGCAGAAGACAGAGGCAGAGACCAGAGAGGGGAGTTGGGTGGGAGAAGCCCAGCAGTGTTTGATGAGGATGGCCATGCCTCGTCCCCATGGCCTGAAGGTGAAGGACTCTGGCCTATCGCACTAGGAGCTGGGTGAATGCTCAGCTCCTGCTTTAGCTCCCTCTCACTCCAGTCAGCTGGAGCACACGCGCCCTGCCCCAGGACTGCTGCTCGGCTTGCTGTCTCTCCCGCTGCCGATGAGCGCACTTAGTGTGTGTGGTCCACACGCCTGCCTGCCCTTCCCACTGCGAGCACTGCCAAACGCTCTCCTGCAGCTCCAGCTGCCTCTGGGCCTGTGGGCCTTCCCCTCGCTCGTGCCATCAATTGCATCCACAATTCTGCTCCTTAGTTTTTAGAGCCCCCTCATTACCCAGACTAGTTTATTAGAACTTTGTGTCTCATCATCCATCTGATTTCCCAGATTTAAACTCTCTGTTTAAGTTTTTAAACTTTCAAAATAGCAGTTTTTCTAAATAAATAGCTAGGGAAGGGATCTCTTTAATGTGATGTTGTGGAAGTGACCCAGGGATGAAAGGCCTGACTTAGGACAGTGATCAGATGAGGATTGTGGAAGGGCAGAGGAGTCATCGTTTGGCTCCCACTGTCTCTCCTTGGGCCATTCCCACCCCTTCTTGGGCCTCAGTTTCCCAGTTGTTCTCCTAGTTCTGTCCCATGGCTGTGATTCTGGGATGCTCTGAGCACTGGTACCCTAGTTTGGCGGGGGGGGGGGGTGCCCCCCCCCGGGAAGTCTGGGCATCAGGGAGGGCTCACGTGGGGTCGTTGGCCAAGTTCAGGAAGAGACAGACATTTCCCATAGTTCCATTTTGCTCAAAGTCGGACTTGAAGAACCTGGCTGTCTCCATGTTCACCTGGACACAGGGAAGAGAGAGCTGAAGGTGGCCTAAGGGCAGGGCCTGGACCCTCACAGCTGTTTTCTGGAAAGCTTGTGGATTGACTGACTAACAGCTGCCGGAGGCAAAGGCACTGTAGTCACTGGGGTGACTGGGACTCAGGAGGGGCCTCCAGAGAAGTTCAGACTTGTTCAGGTCAGGTTCCTGACGCTGCACCTCCTGGGTCACCTGCTGCCCGGCTCCTCCCCATCCTTCCCTCTGGCCTGCTGAGGCATTTTGGTATCCCATGAAGCTGTGTGGTGGCCTCAAGTGCCTTGTCCTCTTCCAGGCCACCCATCTTACAGCTTCTGTGGCCTTTGGGATGCAATGCCTGGAGGGAGGCACTGCCTTGGTCACAGAGCCTGCCTCGGCCATGCTCTTGGCCATCCCAGCAGACTGGCCTGGACTTGGATGGCTTCTCAGGAAGAGGGACTGTGGCTCACCCATCAGATCTGAATGTGTCAGGGCCCAAGAGAGACAGAGCTGCCTGCTCACTGATCCTAGAACTTGCTAATGGACCTAGGTGGATCCCTTACCCCCATGGCTGCAAAGACGATGGCAAAGTTGTCATCATGATAATCCAGCACAGCTTTGGATTTCTTCACCAGCCCGGCCTGGCGGCAGATCTGGGCTGCAATCTGAGAGAAGGTGTTGGGAGGGAGGCTGTTAGAGCAGAGCTCGGTACCTGCCCCGCTGAGGAGAGAGACAGAGAATGTCCCATCTGCACTTCTACGCAGGCCTTTGGAGGGGCTGTCCCAGGCTGAAGAGGTGCAAGGGCTGCCCCAGATGTACAATCCTTCTTGGGGGAGGGATCTGTTCTTTAGAGCATTCAGGCTTGTGAGAGCCTCTGTCCCTCTCTTAGTGTGCTGGAGCTTCATGGGGACAGAGCTGCCTCTGGCCTGCGATGTGTATAGTTACCAAACACCATGTCCAAAGCCAGGATGTGTGTGTACGTGTGCGTGTGTGTGTGTGTGTGTGAGAGAGAGAGAGAGAGAGAGAGAGAGAGAGAGAGAGAGAGAGAGGCACATGCATGTGCAAGATTCTTATCTTGCAGACCATGTTGAGGTGAGCTACATTCAAGAGTAGCTGGGAAGGAATACCTAGACACTTTGTCCTGCTGGCCACTGTGAGAGGCACTGACTACATGAACTTGGTGATGGTAGTGGAATAGATGTGGACTGGGGCACGTGAGTACAGGGACAAGGAAGCTTTGCTGAGCAGGATCTTCAACACTGAAGGCAACCAGAGAACCTACATGTGCCCCACTGATTCCCGGTAGCTGGAAGGCCTGCTGGGGGCAGGGACTGGGCATGGAAGAGGGCTTGTGGGACCCTGAGTGCCAGCATGAATGCAGGTGACCCCACTGCCCACTGGGCACAGGTGCCTAGGCCTGTGCTTGCCTTTTGGCTGTGCCCCCACAGGCCTCACCTCATTGTGGGGGAGCCCAGCCGCGGAGAAGATGGGGATTTTCTGACCACGGGCAATGCTGTTCATGACATCAATGGGAGAAATACCCGTCTGAATCATCTCCTCAGGGTAGATTCGGTCATGGGGGTTGATGGGTTGACCTGGGAAAGGCAATCATGGAGCCATGCTCAGGGGTTCCCCTTTTCCTCTCCTCCCCAGCCCCAACCCAGACTCCAGAGCAGCGCTGTTCCCACTTACTGGGGTGACGGGGGATGTTTTGCCCAGTGTAGCCCCAGCCATATAAAACATGGTTTGGGAGTGAAAATGTCTCTCATTTGAGTTGGTTTAAGTTTCAACAGCCAGGTCCATACTACCTTGGACAGCACTGCCCTGGTGCTTGGTTAGTGGGTGTTGGGAACTCAGGCTAAGCACCCCTAGGGTGAAGGCAGCCAGGCAAAACACCTACGACAGGCAGACAGACCTGAAGGTGACTCAAAAACTGCCTATCTGAGCAGATGCCTTAAGCAAGTCATGGGCTTCAGTGGTCTCTGTCATCCCCTCCGTAAACTGGTGGGATGGAGACACAGGACAGAGGAAGCCCCCACATGAATGGGTGAGACCCTAGGAGGGCCTGAGTCTGTTACTGCAGACCACCCCAGTGCAGCCCTCAGGATGGGGACACAGATCCTGGGGGTGTGCACAGGTGTGCAGATGTGCAGGATGATACCATTTTACAAAGGATAGACACAGTGCTGAGTGCAGTGTCCTGATTCACTGGGTTGGGGACAGGCAATCTTTTTTTTTTTTTTTACCCTCATATCCACTTGATCTGTGCCTTATTCTGTCTGGCCTTGAGTTGGCACTGGCCAGTGGTCTGAGCACAACTTCCAAGGACAGGGTGGCAGAAATGATGAGTGGGAAGGAATTGGAGGATGAGTCCTGAAAACCACCCAGGGCACCAGTTACTCACCATTGATGTCCAGAAAATCCTCTGCCATGACCACAGGCCCTTTATCAATGGGTTTGCCCGAGCCATTGAAAATCCGACCTGAAAGGGGGTAGGAGGTGTATTTGGACGCTCAGGGCCACCCCTGAGTCCCTCACTGCTCTCAGCCTCCAACTGTCTTTTGCACCACCCCATGTCCCCTTCCCACCCATTCCTCAGGTGGGAACACTCTTTAGTCTCCTAGACACCACCCAGGTCAGTGATTCTAATGGCGAGATCACTGGACTTCAAAAAGGTGGGGGGCGACCAGGCCAGGTAGGGCAAGTCCTGAGACACATTTGGGGACATATGGGGTTTTACAGTCCCTTTCAGCCTGACCCCCAGTTGGTCAAGTACCTGCTGCCCTTGTAGGTAATTTGAACCTGCTTGCCCATTATTGAACACTTGCTATATATCAGGTCCTAAGCTAAGGTTGGGAACTCAGGAGACAAGATCTAATCTCTGTCCTCAAATTGTTCACAGGAAAGACAGACACACAAACAGTCCCTGACAAGGCAGCAGCTAGAGCCTGGTCAGAGGAGCTGGGGCAGGAAGGCAGAGGAGCTCCTCCCACCACCACCAGGCATGCCTTACCCAGCATGTCCTCGGACACCGGGGTCCGCAGAATGTCCCCTGTGAACTCGCAGGTGGTCTTCCGGGCATCGATCCCAGAGGTTCCTTCAAACACCTATGGGGTAAGAGGTACCTATTCTGATGAGGGGCTTGCTGAGGGCTCTTTGTGCCCAGCTCTGAGCAAGGTGTTTACAGGGAAATCGGAAATTTATCATCTTCAGAGTTGGGAAGATAGTGTGGGAAGCCTCAGGGGCTTGTTAATTCATCCACCCGGCCAACATCTCACTGATGCCACTTACCTGAACAATAGCCTTGGTCCCAGCCACCTCGAGCACTTGGCCACTCCTCTGAGTTCCATCGGGCAGAGTGAAGTTGACGATCTCAGCATACTGGGCAAACTGGGGAGAGCAGTCCAGAGTCACAATGAGACCAGATGCAAAGCTACGTCACCTCCCTCATTCTCCAGTCTCAAGCTGCCATCTTCCCTCTTGTGCCCAGACACTTGTGGAAATGCACTGGAGGGACTGGGCAGTGGACTTTTGGGGTCTGTTTGGAAGAAGTATGCCTGGATGGTTAGGAGCCAATTTAGAGGTGCAAAACTAGGTTAGAATTGAAGCTCTTTCACCTAGTGGTGTGTGATTTTGGAAGTCACTTAGTGGCTTAACTAACCTGTTAAACACTTAAATCATTAATTAGTCTTGTCTCAGCTTTATAATGAAGATGATGATGATAATAATACCTACTTTATAGAAGTGTGCTGGTCAGGAAAAGAGAAAATACAGCAAATCCTTTAGCATGGTGACTGGCAGCTTGTAAAAGATTAATAAGGTGGAGCAGCTATTGTGGCCATGTGGTCTCCATGGCCCACACTAATAGGAAACACATTAACCATGGGGCTGGGATTGATTCACATGTAATAGATTGGGGGTTCTAGAATTTAAAAATACAGCCAACCTACAGAATATTTAAGTGATTCTTACAGCCTGGCAATCAAAAAGATTTGATCAAAGAATTTAAATAGACATTGCTTCAAAGAAGATACACAAATGGCTAATATGCACATAAGATGGTTACCATCGTTAATCATTAGGGAAATTAAAATCAAAATCCTGATGAGATATCATTTCATACCCACTGAGATTCATACAATCATAAAGGCAGATGATAACAAACGTTACCAACGGTGTAGAAAAATTTGGTTGACGTTTATAGCATGTGAATTGTAACTTAAGTTTTAAAATCCAATCAGGCTGTCTCTGCGGGGCCACATCAACAAGCAGGCAGTTAGAGCTGTGCGCTTGCTGGGGAGTCCAGGAGCTCTGCTTTCTGTGAGTGCTCTGGGGACTGCAGCATCCCTGTCTTTACCAACACTGAGGGAGGCTCGAGGCTTGACCAGGAAGCTGTGCTGGAGAAGTCTCCTCACCCAGGTCCTAGCTGTTCTGCTAGAGAATTTAGTCCTGTTCCTGCACCTCTGCCAGGCCCAGGACCTGGGGCGAGTGAACAGCATCTCACTGGCAGATTTAGTTTAGAGTGTAAGTCATAAGCCTTTTGTTTTGTTTTAGTACTGGAGATAGAGCCCAGAGGCTTCATCTCCATCCTTGTTATTACTGTACTCTTTTGAGACAGAGTCTCACTAACTCACTAAGTTGCCAAGGCTGGCTTCAAACTTGCAGCCTTTTGCCTCAGCCTCCTGGAGTGCTGGGGTTATAGGTATGAACCACCACACCCATCAAGCCATAATCTTAATCCAACATAAAGCAGTAAATAAAAGACAATCCCCCCCCCAACTGCTAATATTCTGGGAAATTAAAGTGCTCTTCTAACTAGGTGTGGTGGCACATGCCTGTGATCCCTGAACTCAGGAGGCTGAGGCCGGAGGATTGCTGTGAGTTCAAGGGCAGCCTGGGGTATGTGGTAAATTCAAGGCCAGTCTGAGAGGCATAGCAAGACCCTGTCTAAAAAAAGAAAAAAAGGAAATGAAAAGTGCTCCTCTAAATTACTCCTTGTACCAAAGTAGAAGAAATCAAAGCCAAACAACATTACATAGAAAAGCATAGAAAGAACATTGATTTGTGCCAGGACCTATAAACTACATAAAGCTGTACCGTGTTCTCTGACCATAATCTATGCAAGTGAGAAATTGATATAAAAAATAGAAAAACTTCATATATTTGAGAACAAAAGCATTCTAAATACAGAAGGCCTTATAGAATAAGAAAACATTCAGCAGGGCTGGGGATTTAGCTCAGTGGCATAAGCGCCTGCCTTGCAAGCAGGCAGTCCTGAGTTCCATCCCTGGTACCGATAAAAAGGAAAAAGACAAAAAGAAAAAAAAAATTCAGCTCCAAAGAATAATGAAAATTATACATCAATATATATATGATACATTTGAAGTTTAAAGATTTTATATTAGAAATGTTGAAGAAGCTTAAAACCATGTAAATTAAGAAGTTAAAAAGAATAGCATGAAAATCCCATAAAATGTTTAATAAGACAGAAAAATCAAACCAAAAAATGAGTGCATATATAATAGAGATCAAGAAAGCTAAACTGGTTGTTTGGAAAGTCTAATAAAATTGACAAATAGGCAACATTTATAAAGAAGAACAAAAACCCTGAATAAATAATTGTTGGAATAAATGGCACAACCAGTTATACTGAGAATATTAAAGAGGTAATGATGTGTGTGAACAACTTTATGCAACATATTTAAAAATTTCGATAAGATTAGTGAAATTCTAGAAGACTGCATCTCAAACCAAAATCCAATTAAAATGAACAGAAATCCAGTATGATCTTGTAATTTTAAAACACTGAATGAATGGTTTAAAGACTTTCTACAAATATGCACAAGGCTCAGTTATACTAGTGGATTCTAACACTCAAAGAACAAATTAATTTAAAATTTACTTAAACTCTTCAAAAGTATGGAAGGGAAGGTTTGGTATTTAATTCATTTTATGAGGAAAGTATAAACTTGGCATCAGAATAAAATAATTACCAGAAAATTGTAGACAAGCCCACTCATGCAAATGGATGCAAAAATCCTCAACTAAATATTAGCAAACTGAACCCAACATTTATAAAAAAGACTAAGTTACAAACCAAAAAATAAAAGAAAAAATTACAAAATGAAAGTGAAGATAAACACCCATACACATGTAGAAAATAAAAAATTGGGGACTTTCAGGAATGCAAAGTTATTCCTGTATTATAAAGTCTATTAATGCCATTCATCTCATTAATGGATTAAAGGATTAAAAATTCAGGTCATCTCAAGTTTTTTTTTTGAATGAAGTTTTAAAAATTTTCCATGATAACAATCAAAAGAAAAAAGAATAAAACCAATCTTAAAAAAAATAAGATGGAAATTTCTTAACCCCAAAATGCGTATTATTTTAAAAATGTACTAAAAATACTTTTTCAAGAAATAAAGTATTTTCAATGCAAAAGGCCCAGCCTTTAAAATTAGGAACAAAACCAGAATACTTGCTGTCATTCTATTTAACATGGTCCTGGAACAACCTGCTAGGAATAAGAGCAGAAGGAGGAATAATGGAAAAATGACATAAGTGAAGATTAAAAGACTAGAAACAAAGCTATTGCATGGAAACGACCCCCTGATCCAATATAGTAATCAAAAGAAAACTATAGACTGATTTTTGAGTGCAGAAACTCCAAGTAAACTATTAGTCTGATCAAGCAACGTATGAAATAAATAAGCAAAGGCTTATTCCAAGAATACCAGACTAGAGAAATCAGCATCAGAGAATTTGTCAACATTTTACAATGTAATTTGTTATAACAGAGAATTTGCCAACAAAATAAAAAGAAAAACCCTCTAAGGTTATATAAATAGATGCTGAAGACGTGATAAAATTTAGAAGCTTCTGTTTCTAATCCAATTCTAGGTAAAACAAATGAAAAGCAACTATTTTAACACTACCAAAACCAACATGAATATCTTTGTAAATGTTGAAATGCTGAATTCATTTTCACTTCAAATAAAAATCATTACAGAGATACCAGTGTCCTATGGTTAGTATTGTTTCAGAAGTCTTAGTTTATGCAGTCAAATAAAATTTAAAATTAACCAATAAACATAGATGAGGAATGTTTCATTTTTAAAAAGAAAGAATAGTAGTGGGAGGGAACTGTAGTCCTTAAACATCTCAATGAAAGATTGTCAAAACTTTCCAGACTGTGGGGAGCTAAACAGACACAGTGATTAAACACAATACATGACTACAGGCTGGATTCCATAGTGGATAGGAAAAAATGTTATACAATACTTTATGGATCAACTGATCAACTTGACTATGGATGGTAGATTAAAGTATAATATTAATATAAAAAATTTGTAACTCTCTGAAGAGAAAAAATATGGAAGAAAATAATGTCTTTTTGGAAATAGGCCATGTAGTTGGGCAATATTTACCCTCAAAAGAGTCAGGAAAAAAATGTACACACACATATATACTCACATATGCTGAGCAAATGATAGAACAAATGAAATAAAATATAAAAATTGGGTAAGTGTATGGGCCTTGAACTATTTTTATTTTTACATAAACCCAAAATTGTTTCCAAGTGAAAGTATACCAATATAAAAAAGAGACACAATTCCCCTTTTTTCAGGAAATATTGTAAATCTAGAAAAATGTAAGGGGCTCTGGTCAAAACACACGCTCACAAAACTGTAGGAGGAATAAAAGAACTTGTTTATGTATATGATAAACTTATAAAAATCAGTATTCTTCCATGCCAATGATAGACAATTAGATGATGCAAGAGAGAAAAAAATCCCATCCACAGCAAAGCCAACACCCTTAAAATAATTGGTAACACGTAATAAGAAAGATACAAGAACAATAATAACCTCTTATTGAAAAACATAAAACAAGCTCAGGAAAAAGTGGAGAACAATGCTTTCCTTCTATAATTTACTATCACAAATAAGTAGATAAATTAATCCATCCCCAATGGGTTATTGTTTCTTTTGGAATTTAATTAAAATATCCTATATTTGGAGCTGGGGATTTAGCTCAGTGGCATAAGCACCTTGCAAACAGGCGGTCATGAGTTCGATCCCCGGTACCGATAAAAAAAAATCCTATATTTCATATACATGTCTGAGAATAGCCAAAAACAGTTATTGAAAAGATCAGAGATAGAGTATTTGCCTTAATGGATACTCAAAGTTGCTATTTAAAATTTTTTTCTATAAAGCTTCTCATGTCAAGCAGTAAGTCAAATGTGACACAGATAAATAAATTATTGGGACAGACTAGAGAGTCCAGAAAGTTTCCAGATTTTATATAACTATTATAGAGTAAATGTAGTCTATTAATTCACAGAGAGGAAAATGCACAAATAGTGCTAATGTCACTGGACACTT